GGGAGAGGGGGGGGGGGGGTGGATTACCTCAATTCTTAGGGTGCAACTTATATATCTGTTGGACAACTTTACTTAATGCTAATTTGGTTTTAAGATGGAATCTAACAACCTGTAGAAACAAAACATGCTATAATGAAGGTTTTTATAATAGAAAGTCTGTGGTTATAGTTGTTGCCTTTCGTCCTAATTTAAATTGTATGTTATGGGCTGTTAATCTTCAATAAGAGTCACATCACATGCATGGATGGTGTTCATCAATTGTAATAGGAACCTGTTTGGATACAATTTAGATGGCATTTGAAAGCTTTTCTACTAAAAATAGAGAATTTTTCTGTTGAGAAGCTTTTAAAAGCCCTTTTAGACTTGTATCCAAACATGCTCCAGATCACGTTACATGACCCTTGATGAGTTTGTTTTCTTTGTAATTCACTTGTGTCTTTGATGGTTAAATTTGAAGCTATAAGCATCTTGAGATGAAATTTACGGGTCTCAGTTTCATAGTACTTTTGGAATTACAAAATTGTTGTTAGGTGCAGTACCACTTTTGCATATGCGCACTGGGTGACTGTATAGTATTAATTGCTATAGTTGATCTGGTATTGTTGGAGTAACATAGCAAATTAAAACTTATCACAATGTCTTCTCTTTAGTTACAAATAGTTCAGACTAACAGAAACTTGTCCCCTCCTGCCAATGGAAAATTAAGAAGAAAATGTTATATGTTACATTTACTTTTTCTTTTCTTTTCTTTTGGACTTTAATGATTATGCTGCTAATACTTTTGGACTTTATTTTCACTATTTGTGAGGGAAAAAAAATCTGGATATTTTCTAAATGCCAAGTGACTTTCAGCTTAAAAAGTCACTTTAACCTGTAAAAATTCCAGTAAACTTTTTTTGCCCTCTGTACTGTTTCAATTTTTTCACCTAACAACTTGAGTTATAGCTAAAAAATAATGCCAAAACCTAGTTTGGTCTTTTCGATATTATCATCTTCTAACGGCAATGATGCTGTAAAACAATTAAAAGGAGAGATAATTTGACGAGGTATTAGTATTGGTGTCTGTTCAGGGTTATCATTCCATGCTCTCTTGCATGACTATATTTCAAATTTAAATGCACTCAAAAACCTTTAAAATTTGATGTGATCTTGGTATTAGTGTAAACGATGGGATTTGTGATTCTATGGGCCAAAACTTCTTTTCTTAGAATGTTTGCCAACTATTTCCCAAAAACCTGTCAAATTTGATGTGATATTAATTTCCTCATATGTGCCTATGTGGTCTTTGAAATTTAATCAAGGGAAGTAACAAATATCTTTCTTGCAGTGTCACAATGGGCATACATTGTGTTCCACATGCAAAACAAGGGTGCACAATCGATGTCCCACTTGTAGACAAGAGCTTGGTGATATTAGGTGTCTGGCACTGGAGAAAGTGGCTGAATCACTAGAGTTACCATGCAAGTACTACTCCCTTGGATGTCCTGAAATCTTTCCATACTACAGCAAGCTTAAGCATGAGACAGTATGCAATTTTAGACCATACAATTGTCCTTATGCTGGATCAGAGTGCTCTGTTGTGGGGGACATTCCCTTTCTTGTTGCACATTTGAGGGATGATCATAAGGTGGACATGCACACAGGATGCACCTTCAACCATCGTTATGTGAAATCAAATCCACGTGAAGTAGAGAATGCAACTTGGATGCTCACTGTAAGTGTTGCATTTTACAGGAGTATGGTCAAATATTTATTTTCAGTTTGTGACATAACCCATTGCTCATCAAACTCAAATGTCTTTTGGTGGGAACACTCAACTTGTGGGGGATGATGCTGTCTGAAATCCCTTTAAATGCTTCTTTTGGGAAGTGATTTTCTATTTATTCACTTAAACCACTTTTACACCTGGTTGACTATAGGTTTTGCAGATGATTAGTTATAGAATTTCTATTTCTTTTTTACCTATTAAAGAATGATTTTGGAAGTACTCCATTTAGTTGCAACTGTAGTATTATCTCACGATTCAATATCCTCTCCTCACTGTTTGATTTTCCAGTTTGCCAACTTTCATCTACTTTTTTAGGTATTTCATTGTTTTGGCCAATACTTCTGCCTTCACTTTGAAGCTTTCCAGCTTGGCATGGCACCTGTTTACATGGCATTCCTTCGTTTTATGGGTGACGAGAACGAGGCTCGGAACTACAGTTATAGCCTTGAGGTTGGGGCAAATGGCCGGAAGCTCATTTGGGAGGGTACACCACGAAGTATTCGTGATAGCCACCGCAAAGTCAGGGACAGCCACGATGGTCTCATTATTCAACGGAACATGGCCTTGTTTTTCTCTGGTGGGGATAAGAAGGAGCTGAAACTAAGAGTCACAGGAAGAATATGGAAGGAACAACAGAATCCTGATGCTGGGGTGTACATACCAAATCTTTGCAGCTAGTTTAATTTGGAGGGCACTTTTAGTGTTTGTGTTGTGACACTGCAGCTGTATCTACTACACCAGCTTTGTGTATGTTGTAATATTGTAAGGCACTGAGATGACTTTTGAAATTTTCATTTTTCCCAGGCTATATATGTGAGACACATGATTGTCTACCTCTAAATTTGCTTCATTAGAATGAGACTGGAACCCAAATTTGGCTCGTACTTTCTGTGAGGTTCTCATGACTTGATAGAATGTATCTTGGTCTGAAAATTGTGTTTGTTGTCATCAAGGAAAGCGCATTCACGGGTGACAGGTTCAAATGTTCGAAGTATATCATCAGAAATTTGTATATTCTTTCACCAAGACATTTCTTTTTCAAGTGTTTGTGTAACGCAAATTCCTTGAAATACGGTTCAGTGTTGAACACAACTCGTGGTTGTTTAACTTGCTTTGATACTTTTGGTTTGTACCTAGTTACACTTTAAAGGCCCTGCAAATGAATTTCATGGTCCGCCAGTGTACATCTACTCTGTATGTTGCTTCATCTCGCGTTATATCTGTTCTATTTCAATGTCAATGTTCCTTCACTTGCAATTTAAGAATTTCCGGAGATATTTTACATTTTTATGTCAGTTACAAATTACACACTTTCATTCATTTTCTTGTTTGATATGAGAACTGTATTATGTAACACTTAGGACGTGTTTAATGCAGCATGTTTAAGCAGAATTTTACATATTGAATGAGTACAATATATATATATATATATATATATATATATAGAGAGAGAGAGAGAGAGAGAGAGAGAGAATAAAATTAGTGTAATAAAGAATAAATGTTTGAATATTCACATCCCCTTTTATTAATTATTTACAAGTTATTTTTAAATTACGATTACTTATATGCAAAAAAAAAGGGTTTAGACCCTATACGTTCGAAAATAAAATGTCTACATGATTACGACTTTTTTATGGTAAAGTCATGTGATGGAATTACACTAAGGTCAAGAATACCAAGAGGTGATATATTGAAGGAGGTAAGAGGAATGAGTTAGTTTTGAAAATCATAAGAGGAGTGAGATTACTTTTGGGTCTTAGTGTTAAGTCAGACGAAGTGATAGGACTTCCTAGCAATGTTTTGATGATGACAAATATAATTGATCAAGTGGGTTCCATATATACTAAATCAGAGATATGTGCAAGTTAGTAGGTTTTCTCCCCCTTAGTTTATGCACTCCCCCTTACTAGGTTGTCTCTTAGCCAAGTTTGATAAACTAATCAATTCATTTCTATTTCTCCCCCTTTGTAATCATCAAAAAGAATTATATGCCAGAGTAGTTATCAAGATTAATTATTATAATCATACAATGATGTGAGAGTAAAGACTTCTTAACATTCATTCTATTAAGATCACTATGCATGAGTTATGTTCACTTAGTTATCAAGATTTAATTTTTAGACGTAGATAATAGGAGAGACATTCGTACAATAAATGCTTATCATTAATTTTTATTTGTATTCATCAAGGTAGATGAGTTTCTACGAGTATTCAGACATCATAAAGATTTCTACAGAGAGCGAGATGCTCAGAGAGCAAGAGAACTTGTACCCATGATCATATCAATTAAAAAAATGTATTAATCTAGATCAGAAATATGTTTCACATAAAGAGTCTGTATAGTCAGGCGGAACCCCTTTTTCTATTGTGATTATTCTTATTATTTGGTCTCTCCTACTGTAATTATTCAGATGGATAAGTTTTAAGACGTAGTTTGATACCCGAGGAGTTATTATATTCAGTTAAGAAGGAAAATAACATTAAGAAGATTATTCAAATATCAGTCAATAATTCTAGACAACAAGAAATAAATGTATTATTGACTAGTCTTAGATTTACATTATGAGAAATATGCACATAGAGGCTTTTAGCCAGATTAACCCTATTTTCCTATTCCTCCTACGGTGAACCTAAGGCTCTTCTCCCAGGTGAGGATCTATTGGAGCAGGGAAGCCTTTTTAGGGCGAGAATGAGGGAACTTCTACTTGATTTCTAGCAGAAGGTCATTTTTATGGAAGTGGCACGTTCATTGAGTTTTTCCTCTAGATGAACTTGCCTCTTCTCTCTTCTGCTAAAGCCTACTCCTTATTCTTCTTGTGCTTCGACATCACCGACTCTGGAACAATTGTTTTCACTTATTTGTCCGTTCCAAGTTGCTTCTTCCTCTGCCTCTTCTGATGTAGAACCCTTGCTTTGAGAAGGTTGGGGTGTTCCAAACACCATTCCTTCCATGATTCTTTGAGGAACATTTGAAGGAACATAGTGCATCAGCACCAAGTCAATGTAGATGAAACTACTAGTGTGGATATGCCAGAGTATCCCACTTTCCTTCATCTAGTTGATGTTGGATGACGCTCCAGATATTTTACTGACTTTTCCCTCGAGGTGAAGGTATAAGTGCAAGTTATGGATTTATGTGTTTTAGCAGGGTTGCTACGTTCATCCATTGTGATGGATGTCGATCATTTGAGAGAGTGTGGAGTATAGGAATTTAGGAGAGCTTTTGAGATTCTAGGGTATGAGTTGTGTTGTGATTCCTAGAAGCTCTATGGGTTTTTATAGCCGGAGAAGGCCATGAGATTCTTAATTATTTTTTAAATATATACATTACGTGGCGCCTATTTATCTCCTCGTGCAGAGTAACGTCCAGTTACATTTAATTTGTGGATAAGGGAGTCGTCTTTTCCTACTGGTGCAAGAGTGACGGTCATGTTGCCTATTGATTGACAAGCATATCTGCCAATTTATTCGGGGATATTTGAGTATGCGTGATAGACACACTTTCTAATGATGATTGTTATCAGATTTGGATACAGTCGATAGGGTTTTCCGAGACTCAGATGATCACAAACAATAGTGTGGCATCAAGGGATGATTTTCAGACAGTATTTTTTTTTAAGGATAACTATTGTAGTGTCTTGCTACAACTATTGTTCTAGAATGTTTCAGAAAAATTTGCATAGACACACATAATGTCTTAATCTAGCAAATATAATTTATGCACAATTTAGGAATTATGCACAGTTGAGATAAAAGTTTTGATACTAGATTTTCCTACACTAGTTGTTCGTTGTAGACCCCTAAAATTGTCCGGGTCGGAAATA